TTTTAACAGGATTGGGAGCGCCACTTCCAGACGCAAGGAGCTCAGAACGCTTTCGTTTCTTATATGTATCTCGGAGCCCTTTCCAGCGCTTGCGACATGCATCCGCTGGTAGAAATATTGTTTATTAATAAGTCTGTTCCAGGTACTTCACGATTTGCAGGTTTTACAGGAAACTGTTCCCGTACGTCACCTTCCATAAGGTTTATTAAAGGCGAAAAGAGGGTTTCCTGTAAATCCTGGAGTACTTGGAGCAGGCTTTAAAATTACTTATTTCATGCACATCACTTGTTTGTTTGCACATACACATGTAAATTCATTTATACTTACCGCTCAAATTCAAGGACTGAGCAACTGATTCCCAAATTTCCATTTTCTTGTGGACATTTTTGTATTCGCGATGTGATAAATTAAATAAACAATCATTTTGTTTAATTTGTTCGATCAGAATCTCGTTGATATCCATTCTTTTGTTTGGCTACTATAAATTAAAACAACCGAAGAAACAGCTGATTTCGTCGCACTTATAATTGGGTTACCATGTTTTAAAAAAACGAGCCTATATTTAGAAATTGGAAAATAATAAGAATATAAATACTAATAAATAATAAAACAAAGATAAATTCTTATAAATCATCTTATTTTAAGCCAGATTAAAATAATCAACTATTATATTTTCAAACCAACAACAATTAATCCTGTCAATTTGTTGTTTTCTTCTAAAACTTTGAAACAAAAAAAACTACGGCCACCTTTGGCAAGCACTGCCGCATTCGCCCAGCATTGGCGATAGAATTAAATCTATCGCCGCGAAACGCCGCCGAGCGAACTTCGCATTTCGCTTTGGCTGTGTTCAATTTCATAGGATTGCGGGTGTTTTAATTTTGACAGCGGCAATTTCGCTGTGGTGAGTTCGCCGTTCGCCGGCATTGTGTTTCCACGGTAAGCGCTGCGACGCTACTCGCGAGTAGCGTTTTGCCCATCATTGCATTACAACCAGCTGGTCTCAGACATGTTATAGCTGCTATACATATAACATTAATCCGAAATTTTTCATACCTTCTTCATACATAGCATTCATGTATGTATGTATGTGTACACCTAGGCTTGCTGGAGTTGGTGTTCAGTGTTGCCATTTTAGCCGTTTTCCGGCTAGATTTAGCCGGTTTCGATAGCAAACAGCCGGAGAAATTTCGATTTAGCTGGCAGCCGATTTGTTAGCCGTTTTGCAGAAAAAAATTAGCCGATTTTAGCCGATTTTGCTATTTTCCTTGTTTTCTTAAATTACAAATATGTATATATGTTTCCATTTTTGACTAAGCCACCCAAAATCTGTTAGAAATGGCTACTAGCCTTATTGTGGAGAAAATTTTCATGTCAGGCAGGGCTATATAAAATTGGCCGATTTCGCTTCTTTTTATTTTAAACGAATATATTTTCTCTAAATAAGGCCGTAACGGGGATTTTCTTCATAAAATGTTTGTTATAAATGTCTTAATTTTAAGTGTGAAGTTTTATTCGCAAACTTAGAAAATAAGAAATTGTTTCACTGTTAAGACACTTAAGATGCGTTTGTGTTTGGCACTATATCCAAACACAAACGCATCTTAAGTGTCTTAACAGTGAAAC